TGATACTAATAAATGCTTATTGAATATGTTAAGGAAAAAGGTTATGGGGAGACCCCCGAAGTGTTAACTAGGTATTTAGATTAGAAATATGGAACATAGTAAGTGAAATAGGTAAACTCAATACAGGATTCGGATTTGTAGATTTATTCAGACGAAAGATTATTGAGGATTGCTATGATTGATTTAGTTGTATTGTAATATATCAATTTGAATATAATATGTCATTAGAGGGAAAAATAGGAGGTTTTTAATGACTTAATTTGAACTTTATGAAAATGACTTTGTTTTGTGGACAATTGACTGCCCTGCCACCACGTTGTTTCTTAAGCACTTGTTTGTAAAATGAAAAAACCAATAAAACTTGTTTAAAAAAAAAAGAAATGAAGAGAAATCAAATCCATGTAAGGCAAAGATCATAGATAGATAGTTAATGAAGAATTTCAGAAAGGTTTGTTCCTTAATCCAATGGTTTTGGTCTCATTTCCTTCATGCATGACTGGCTTTCTCTCCGGTCTCCAACACAGTCTTCTTTCTCTCTTCCATAAATATCCATATCCCCAGCATTTAAAATGCCTTCAGCATTTCTCTTTTATTTGTTTTCTTTGTTTTCTTAAGGAAGAAAGACAGTTCATAAGGATGAAAAACTCAGATCAGCAACTTGAGTCTTTTCTTCCACAATACTCTAGAAGATATTCCTTACTTACAAGAATCTCTAATACTAGAAGATGGCTAGATCAGCATGCCAATTGGAAGGATACAGGGATTGATTGAATATCTTCAGAAACATGGCAAGCAGCAGAAAAAGAATCAATAAAGGTTATAACTAACCTATGTCAGCAAATCTGGAAAACAGTACAACGGTCAAAAGGTTGGAAGACCTCAGTCTACATAGTAATGAGAGAGAGAGAGAGAGAGAGAGGGAGAGGGAGAGGGAGAGGGAGAGGGAAAGAGACAGAGACAGAGACAGAGACAGAGATAGAGACAGAGATTTACTAGTGTGCTACCCATCACACAATATCCCTAATTTCACATCCCAGTAAAATTCATTACCTAATACAGATTAGAGCTTCACAGGAAGATTCTAGATCAGTGATGGCGAACCTTTAGAGACCGAGTGCCCAAACTGCAACCCCAAACCCACTTATGCATTGTTGGGTGCCGGGCAGGTGTGGCCCATTGGCTGGGTGTGGCCAACTGGGTGGGTGTGGCCCATTGGGTGGGCGTGGCTGCGGTGGTAATGGCACAATGGATGGGACTAAAAAGTTCAATCAATCAATTCCAACTTTGCAAGATCTTTTTTTTCCCTGCGAGAACTTGAAATTGACTCATTGACTGAACCTTTTTTTTTTGCACACGGTGGTGGAAGCCTAAAGCAAAAAGGTTTTATAAAACATAGTTGAAGGCCTAGGACTGGGGCAACGGCACGCACGCCCACAGAGAGGGCTCTGAGTGCCACCTCTGGCACCCGTGCCATAGGTTTGCCGCCACTGTTCTAGATGTTCGAGCTACCTTTAGACAAATCTGAGGAACATATTGATGCACACTGGATAATTGAGAAAGTCAAATAATAACAATAGGAAGTCAATATGTGCTTTAATTATTATGGAAAAACCTCTGGTTGTGTTGTTCACATTATGCTGTGAAATGTATTTAGGAAAATGGAAAACCTTGAATCTCTCTCTCTCCTCATGTAAAACCTATGCAGAGGTCAGGAATCTACTGTCCAGATGGAACAATTGGCTCCAAGTCAGCAAAGGAATGAGATGGGGCTGTATACTTTCATTTTATTTATTGAACTGATATGCTGAATATATATTGATAGAAACTGGATTAGAAGATGAGTGTGGCTTTAAAATTGCAGAATCGTTAATTATGCAATTCACTGGTGAGAATAGTAAGGTTTCACACATAGCCAAGAAAAAACAAATGCACATGTATTAAATAGGTGGTATAGGGCTCAAAAGCAGACACTGTGAGAAGGATCTAGGAGTCCAGTGGACAATCACTTAAGTATGAGCCAGCAGTGTGCTGCAACTGCCCCAAAAGCCAATGGAGTCATAAGCTGCATCAGCAAAGGAATAATATCAAAAACATGTAAGTGTTAGTACTGCTTTATACTGCACTGGTAAGATCATACTTGGAATCTGTATCCAGTTTTGGTCATCATGATACAAAAAAGAAATTGAAATTCTGGAAAGAGTGCAGAGAAGAGCAACAAAGATGATTAGGGGACTGGAGGTTAAAATATAGGATGAACAATTGTGGGAAATGATATGTCTAGTCTAACAAAGAGAAGGACTAGGGGTGACATGATAGCAGTCTTCTATTATCTGAGAAGCTGTCACAGAGAAGAGGGGATTGACCTATTCTCCAAAATACCTGAGGGCAGGACAAGAAGTAATGGGTGAAAGACCATTAAGGAGAGATCCAATCTAGAACTAAGGAGAAATTTTCTGACAATGACAACAATTAATCAGTGGAATGGCTTGCCTCCAGAAGTTGTGGGTGCTCCATTGTTAGAGGTTTTCAAGAAGAGATTGGACAACCATTTGTCTGGAATGTTATAAGGTCTCCTATTAGAGTAGGGGGTTAAACTAGAAGACCTCTAATGTCACCTCCATCTCTGTTTTTCTGTATTATATGCTGATAACATTACTTTAGTAAGAAGATCAAGGAACACAGTAAAAAAAATTGAACCAAGACTAAAGATAAGACCAGAATAATAACAGATACAGATATAGCCTTAAAACTGACAAGGAAAATATTGTCATCATAGCAGACATGTGTAGGATTAATGTAATAAAAAAAATCTTGTACTTATTTCCTCATATATGTAGAAGATTTGACGAGAACTTGGAGTTCTTGAAAGAATACCAATCTAAACATAAGCTGCACTCTGCTTTTGTTCTATATCAAATGTCAATCAACCTCCTTGGTTAATTATTGCTATCACAAAGTTGTTGTTTTTACACTGTATTTGAGACTGCACTGTTCGTACAGAGCTGCTTAGAAAACTCTAACCATAAATTATATCTTCATATCTTTCTTAATGGAGATGTGTTTTTGGAAATGCATATGCATTTTTCTTATGAAATATTGAATGCAATAGGCCAGTGGTTCTCACCCTTTTCTTCACCATGTACTCCTTTAAATACCTTTTTTGGCCATGGATCATGGCCATGGACCCCCAAGACTTAAGATTTAAATCATAACATTTCTTCAAGTCTTCATGTACCCCCTGTGATGACATTACGGCCTCTCCGGTGTCCACGAACCACAGGTTGAGAACCACTGTAATAGGTGATATATTTTCATATTCCAGATTGGTTAAAGAATAACCATAGTAAGATTTAGTGGTTTGAGATTTTAGGGCTTTGGGGTTCTGGGAACTTATCATTTTTGGAGCTTGATGGGTGGCACTATGAAAGACAGTCCTGTGCATTATCTGGGGGTCCTTCTGGAACCATGACTCGTGCTTGGAAAGCAGCTACAGTTGTAGCCAGGACAGCTTTTGCACAGTTTTGTGTTATGTGCCAAATACTGTTCCTGGACTGGGAGGCTTTTACTCTCAGTCACACATGCCCTGTAATGGATTCCTGTAACACACTCTGCATGGAGTTGCCTTTGAAGAGCACCCAGAAGCTTCATATGGTACAAAATGCAATGGTGAAGGCATTTTTCTGTGCTCCTTGTTCAGCAAGCATTGTAACTCTTGTCTGTGAAGAGACCAGTTGCGAGTTTGTTTCCAAATTAAATTCAAATTAAATTCAAAGTGCTCGTAATATAAAGCCTTACATGGCACAGGACTGCATTATTTGGAAGGCTGCCTCTTCCTAGTCTCCCAGGTCTGGCAGGAGGGGCATGTTATGGGATCTTTTGATTAAGAACTGTCATCTGATGACCCAAGGGAAAAGTATTTTCTGCCACAGCACCTTCAGGCTGGCTCCAACACTGCTTATCTTTTGAAAGGGTCTAAAGACACACTTGTGCCAATGGGCCTGGGGATCAGGATTATGGTTTGGAGCCTGCTAGATTCACTAATTAATCTACAACTTGCCTTTGCCTGTTTTTTATATTTTCTTTTTAAATTTTGGTTTCAATTTGGTTTCCATTTTGTCTAAGAGTTGTTATTTTTTGCTATTTTTCTGTATTTTGTTTATTGGTTGTGTTATGTGGTTGTTTTTAACTATATGGGTTGCCCAGCATCACAAATGTGAGATATAAATTGGGATATAAATTCAATGAATTAATGAATGAACAAGGAAATCTTCATGCCCCTAAAATAACACTAAAATAAAAAATAAAAGTAAAATAAAAAGGAAGGTAATACATGAAAGCAATAGTTTATGGAAGCAATATATTATTTTAAATAAATCACATTTATATAAAAGTCTGCTTTAATCATAGAATTAAATCATCTTTTGCCTAAATTTCTAGTCCCTTCTTTTCAATTAAAAATATCCCTGCCAGACTTTTCTACAGCACCAAAGCACTGAGAATGCTGGCTTATTCTGTGGTTTCACTAAGTATCTTATTCAACTTAATATAACACAGAAATGTAATCATTATGAGTCAGATTCCAAATTGCCCTTCCAGTAGTACACAGTTCATAGCAAGTAAAGTAGTCCCTTTCTTACTTAAGACAAATGGATACTTAGTTCCCAAATTCATGATGCCATCTGTACAATCTCTTACACAGATTAAGAAAATCAGCAACTTGCTAGAACAGATTTCTAGAACATTCACCCAAGCCAGCTTCTTTTACCTTCTGTGGAATCTCACTCAAAGACATTCTGAATCACAACACATGCTGATATGAGAAGTATTTTCACCCACAAATTTAGGATGTGTGCTTTAAAATTAATTGTTAAATCAACTAACTAGCCGACCAACTCAACCAGTTAACTCTTTGGGAAGAGAATCTTAAAAGTAGTTTCAGATACATAGTTTGCATAGAGACAATATACATTCCATTTCTACAACGGTCAGAAGGAGCGCACCTTTTGTGCCCTGCGCTTATCGGCTCGTTGGTTCTGATGATAGATGCGACTGAAGTTGGAGACAATGACTGGAACTGGAAGAGCAATGACTAAGACCCCGCTGAGAGAGCAAATGGAACCAAATATCTTCCCAACTATTGTCTTCGGCACCATGTCACCATACCTGGGGTAAAAAACAAAAATCTGCTTAAACACATAAGCTATAATTTGCCCTTTAAGGACTCAACAGTCATGTATCATTCCACTATGTGAACAACTCTTTGTATTATTTTTGAGAGAGACCCTAGAATTGCTGGTCCACACATCAATGTATATGCATCCAGTGTGTCTTTAACGGTAAGGAAAGGGAGGCTATCGAAAAATATGGTGATGTCATTTCAGTTATTGAGATCTAGTTGAATTGTTGTTTCCAAGGTGGCTTGGAGTTACACATGTGGTGGATCAGTCTTTCTTTTTTTTCAATCTTCTAGAACAGTGGTTCTCAACGTGTGGTCTGCAGGTCACAGGGGGTCCATAAAGGCTTGAAGAAGTGTTATGATTTAAATCTTAAGTCTTGGGAGTCATCAGCCATGGTCCATGGACACAAAGGTATTTAAAGGGAGGTGAAGAAAAGGTTGAAGACCTTCTAGAACGGTGGTTCTAAGGACATTTGGAAGCTAGATAAAATTGGAGGGTCTTGTTAAAAATCTGTTCTCCTGCTCTGTAGAAGTAGAAATATTTTTATCCCTACAAAAAGTTACCTTTGAATGCAACTTTTTGAAAATAAATAAGGGCTTTCTATAAATAAAAGAAGGCTGATGCAGATAAATGGGTAAGGGAAATGTGTTCTCTCTCATTTATTATCTCAAAAGATGGAACATATAGTTGTATTAATTGGAAGGAAATTCAAGAAAAACAAACCAAATTCCCTTTCCTTGTAAAAAGTAAGGAAGTGATAGGATTGCTGCACACAGTATGATGCCAGCAATTGGCTCTGTGACTTTAGAACAGAAATATCTACATAATGGTAAATTAGAGTGTCATAAACTGCTGATAATTAAACAGAACATCTTCATTCAAAATAATAAGTGGATTGGGATAGGCCTATTCCATTTTCTATTTTGAAAAGTTTTTGTCTGGCTTTTTAAATTCATGAGATGCAATCTGTAAAAATATTTGAAGTGATCAAGGGGGTTCTTCCATCTATCATATCATCATAATCATCATCACTATCATCTTGCTTACAGCAGTGACTACCTCTTCAAAAATTGGAGATTCCCCAAAATGATTCCTAATATACCTAGGAAGCCTGAAAGACCTTCATTTCAAATCCTGGAGAAATATTCAGTTAACATGAGCATTACTGAACTATAGATAAACCAATAGTATGACTCAGTATAAAACATCAGTATAAAAATATCTTCATCTAATTCCATTTATTACCACTATGTATCACTTGTCTTTGGCACAAAATAAAAACAGAACTCAAACAAGCAGATGGGCTTGCAGTAGAGGCAGTAGATGCTCAAGGTTATCCCATGAACAGTTTGGTTGAATTTCAAGGCCACCTTAATTAAAACTGGGACCCTTCAAAATACTGCATGTGAGGAATAAAATGTCATTTGAAGAATCATCAATTGTATTCTTCTTCCACCCTTCATTACTGCTCTAGAAATACTTTGAAACATATTATTAGTGCTATCCTTCTTTCCAAAAACCTATTGATGCCCTTGAAGTGTAGCAGCATGTTGCCTAATTGACTAAAATTTATTTCATGACAATAATAATTTGTGTCATTGCAATAACATTTCAAGATAATACAACATGTCAGTTCCATACTCTAATTAAGATAAATTTTGGTACAGATCCCAAATAAAGGCAGTTATTCCAATCTAATAAAAGAAAAACCCATATGGAAATAGCCTCTCCAGTAGTGTAGGAGGAAGGACACCTATTCCACTGCTGATATAATGGCCATTGAGGAAACTTAAAAGTGCCTTTTGATGTGAATAATTATGCCATAACTGAAGAATAAAACCTATGCTTTGCCTTAATTAGTACTAAACTAATGACATTTATGTTTTCTTGTTCAGTTCGAAGAATAACAACTACATTGTAAATACAGGTGTCAGACCCCAAACTAAGACAATACATGGAAATTATTCCAAGCTAAGTTCTTTATTGTTTTATACTAATGGACAAAATCTTGCCAGACTGAGGACTCTGTTATCTCCATTTACAATATACTTTGAACTATTACGGAGGAGTCGTCCTCACCCTCACGTAATATCTGAGCTGAGTTGCCTCTTACTCTTCTGAAACGTACCTCTCCCTACTAGGGATCCACATTACTTCAGAACACTGAAAGTGTATATACAGAGAATTTTGTTTCTATTCAGGCGCAGCTCTTTTCATAGAAGTTAAACTTCATTTTCATTGAACACAAAAAGGAATATTCTTAGAAGTTTCTGAGGAGTGGTTATTTAAACAAGTCAAAGTGGCAGCTGCAACTGTGTGATTGAAACCCACCTCTTTTTATGTGTGGGTCACATGCTGGTCACATTTAAAAAATAAGTTTTTTTCTTTACTTTGAAAGTTAAATATGTCTGTCATGAATGCCCCAAACACAGATTTAAATCTCTTTGCTGAATAAGTGTTAAGAATGAATTTGGA